GTCCCACAGCCCCCAGAGCCCTTCTGTGCGGCTGCTGTCCGACCTCTGCTCCTCCTCCCCCCATACTGAGAAGCCAAACCCAGTCACTGAAGGGAACACTGGAGAGAATCAGCCCTGAGATGGAGCCCTGTGGAGCCCCCAGTGACTGCCACCAGCACATCTCCCCCCGTGTCTCAACACGGCCAGCCCAGCATTCACCCATCACACCGTGCCCGTGTCCAGCTGTGTGCCAGGCGTTGTGCCTGCAGGTTCCTGGGAGCAATGCTATGGAGGCACTGCAGGAGCCGAAACAGCTCTGCATCCAACCGGCTGGATCCCCACGAGCAGCTCAGTGGGTGACTGCTGGACCTGCACACCGAGTTCCCAGGACAGGTTTTGCCCCTCACCAGCCCGCGTTGGCTGCTGACAATGACTGCGTTGTCTCTCAGCTCTGTGTGCAGCTGAGGGCAGCGGTCCCGGGGCTGCAGAGACCCCCCACAAGGGGAACCCCCCCACCCCCGGCCGTCCCTTTGCCTGCTGCACGGGGCTGGACGGGGCCCAGAGGGGCCGTGTGATTCCTGCTCAGCGTGTGACTTTCGGGAATGGGAGCGGCTCAGCCCGGGCTTTGGTTCACCCGAGGGCAGCAGGAGCAGCAGGAATGCTTTCACTTGCTGTTGTCACATAGCCCTGCGCTCCCTTGGGGGCTCGAGTTCCCCCTGACGGCGTCAAGGAACAACAGCTGCACTTTCTCCTCCCTTTTCCAGAGGCCCCTCGTGGGGATGGGCTCTGTCCGGGCTGTGATTCCCGCTGGTTTCAGAACAGTGCTGATGCTGCTGACGGCGCCCTGGACCGCTGGGAGCAGGAGGAAGCAATGCTGCGTGCAGAGCGCTAATTAAAACACAAATATTACACTAATTTTTTATTTTACTTTACCGTATATTTATTATACTTTACAGTAATTATCCTTTAGTGCCTCCATAAGCCATGCTCAGGGATCTCCCCAAACCCCGCGCAGCGCGCAGCGGGCGACGTCGCGGCGGCACCGGGCGCTGCGCTCCGGCGAGTCGAAGGCGTCGGGCGCGTCCACCGCGTGCACGCCGTAAGCCCTCCACGAGCCGCTCCGCCGCTCGCTCCTAAGCGTCACCGCGGGAGCCCGGCCGGCTTTTATGGGGGTCGCGGGGTCGGAGCACGAAGGGCCGTTCGGGGGCAGCCCGGGGCGCAGAGTCATGGGGAGCAGCCGAGGGTTGGCTGCCGCTCCCCGGGGTGCGGCCGCCCCGCCGGCAGCCGGGCCGAAGGTGGCGCATTCCTTAAGTGCCTTTCCCGTCAATGCGACCGTTTCCCGTCAACGCGCTCGGTTCCCTCAGCGGCGCCCCTGGCAGCGGAGCCGCGCGGCACCGCCGCCCCGCCGAGCTCGAACGGACGCGCCGCCCCGCCGCCCCGCGCTCCCGCAGCGCCGCGTCCCCCAGCCGCGCTCCTCCGCGCCCCACGCCGGGGCTCCGGGGTGGCCGGACGCTTCCCGACCCTCCGCGACGCGACGCGCTCCCCTGGGGGCTGCCGGCCCGACGGGGAGCGGGGCGCCGCCGTCACCGGGGCTACTCGCAGGGCTGCTCCGAGCCGGGGCGGCTCCTCGGTGCCCGCTCTCACCCGGCGCCGTTCGGCCCCGGCCGCAGCCGCGCAGCCGTCGCGGTTTCGAGTTTTTTCCTCGTTATTCCACATTCCCTGCGTCACGCAGCGATGGGAGTCAACGGGGCGACGCGGAGGCTCCGAAGAATGAGCTACAACTCCCAGAAAGGCACGGCGCTCCCACAACGCTTTATTTTGTGATTTCCATCTTCCAGGAGGAGGCGATGACAGCAGAACCCAAAGCTCACAGCAGCGCTCTCCTTTGCTGCCTGTGTGTCACAGCTGCTGCAGCATCGGCACGAGAGCTTTGCGTTTTGGAAACTCTCGTTTGTTCAGTAGCTTCAATTCCAATTACATTTCACTACTACAATTAGAAAACTAAGTCCTTCTTTCCTTAGCTCATTGCCACCGCTTCCCTTGTCCGGATCCACCTCCCTTCCCTTCCCCTCCTCTACCCCCTTTTTGGCATGGACCCGTGGGTCTCGTCACGGTGATTAGATCTTAATTACGGCAAACACAACCAACACGACGACTCCCCTCGCCCCTCGCTCTGCCTGAGGGCGATGTTCACAGCCCTGTGCAGCACCTCATCAGCTTGCACATCCCGGTCCCGCCTCGGCGCTCTGTTGCTCACAGCACAGCACTGCTTCCCGCACGCCTTCACCAGCTCCCGCAGCGCTCCTCTGTCGGCCGCCTTCACGTATTCATCCAGCGAGCCGCCCCCCAGGTCTTCCTTCCTTGTGAACACCACCATCATGCGCTGCTTAGCGCCCTTCCCAAACAGCTTCTGCACGCTCTCCTGCACCTCGCGGTCCTCCCGCGTGTAACGGCCCAGCTGTGTCACCAGCAGCAGCACGCAGGGCTCCCGGGCAGCGAATCTGAGGCAGCGCTGGCGCTCCTCGGCCAAACGCTGCTCGTCCCACTGAGAGCCCCCGAAAATCGCCGGGGTGTCCATGACCACCACGCACCACTCGCCCCAATCCCGCCTGCCTTCTTTGCACGTGGTGGTGACGGGTTGGGACGCCAGCCGGGACTCGAAGCGCTCCTCGCCCAGCAACGTGTTGCCGGTGGCGCTGCGCCCGGCTCCGCTCCGCCCCAGCAGCACAACGCGCAGCTCCGGCCGCCGACCTGCGGGGACAGCGGGACACGGCTCGGACGGGACGGACAGCTTCTCCTCCAGGTACTGCCGACCCCACGCCGAGCTTCCATGGACCCCGTCCCGTTACAGACAACACCCTCAGAGCACGGACCCCGCGACCGGACAAGGAGACCGGGCCCCAAACCAGCAGGCACACAGGGCTCGTGGGCCGCATCCGCCCTCAGCCTCGATCTGTGCGGCTCTGAAAGCAGAGATGGGAGGCAGCCTCAGGACGCCCCCGAGGCCACGGCCTCCCACAGAGCCCACGCGAGCACGAGGCTGCACCAGGATGCGAACCCCCCGTGCTCCCCAGCACTCAGCCAGGAGCCCGATGGGCTGCAGCTGCGTGCATGCAGCTGTGAGTGGCTCACCTGTGCTGTGACGTCCTGCCATCGGGAGAGCGCTCACACTCACACGGGGAGCCTGGGAGGAGAGAGATTTTGAGTGAGAGTGGCACAAAGCTGCCCTGCTTCTCTCCCTGTGCCAATGAAGGTGACACAGATGATCCCTGGGGACTCAGGTCAGTCCCACAGCCGCGTGTGCATGGACAAAGACAAGTGGCATCAAAGTTACCCATCTGCATTGACTTTGCCTTTGGAAAGAAATGTTGGCTGACCCTCATTCATGGAGGTCAGAACCCACTCCCTGAAAGCAGATTCTGCTGCCTCGGAATTTGTTCCGGCAGTGGCAGCAGAGCTGCAGCAACTCACCAAAGCAGCGCTGCGCTGTGTCCCAGCTCTGACTGCTGCACTCGTGCTGTTGCTGCTCTCGTCCCGCACAGCAGCGCCGGGGCTGGAAGCGCTGTGCAGCTCAGCAGCGCTTTTAGAGGCGGCGTCGGGAGGAGGGCAGTGCTGGGATCCCAGGTAGCGCTGCTCCACCATTGGCCACATCTGAGCTGCCCCAGTGCGGGGACACCGCCCGCTGTGCAAAGCCACATCCAGCCTGGACTCGAGCACTTTTCCTTAGACAAACACACATTTGAAATATAAATATGCTCAGAGGAAAGAGAATTGGATAGTGTGTGTGATAGCAAGGTTCTGATTCAGTTTGCAGAAGCGGAAATTGAGCATCAGTTTCCTCACTGAGCATTGCTGCTACAGCAGGGCACTCTGGGCTCACGTCCTCCAGGATGACCAAAAGCCCGCAGAGCCCTTCTGTAGGGCTGCCGTCCAGCCTCTGTTTCTTTACATACACCCAGGACAGCCCCATCCCACGTGCAGAATGCAGCTCTTGCTCTCGGTCACCTCCATTCCGTTGGGCACTGCCTGGTCCTGCCATCACTAAGGCTCTCTCTTCACCCCTGACAGAGTCAGCAGCTCCTGGCAGTGCAGTGCCATCCACAACCTTCTTCACTGCACCTCAGTGACAGTTTCCAGCCATGGAGAGAACACTGAAGAGAATCAGCCCTGACACGGAGCCCAGCGGAACCCCCCATGGCTGCCACCAGCACAGTGCCCCCCCGTCCCAGATCCCGGAGCCCCGGTCTTCCCCCACAGCACTGTGTGCGTGTGTAGCTGTGTGCTGAACGCTTCATCCTGACCATTCCTCCAGCAATGTGCTGCCCGTCCTGCTGCTGCCTCCGAGCTGCAGAGCGCCCACATCACCTGCACACGCCAGCTGAGGCCCAAGGGCCCACAGACGCCTTTCCCGTAAGCGCGCTCCGTTCCAGCAGTGCAGACAACACATCTCGCAGCAAAGGCTGCTGGAGAACCTCAGCTCTCGCACCGAGGGCAGCTCCCCTTCCACATCCCCGCCATCCTCCACAGCAGCCTGCATGCCCACAGCCACGGGCACCAGCCCTCCACATCCCATCCCCGCAGGCACAGCCGGCACTGGGCCTCGTCCCCACTGCACCGTGTGTGCGACCACCTCCTGCCAGCACTGCTCAGCACAGCAGAACCCAGGGCACAGACGGATGCTCCTCCACACAGCAATGCTCAGTGTTTATTGACAGCTCCTTCAGGCCCATCACCACACACCCTGCCTCACATCACCCCATACAGACAGCAGGAACGGCACAGCAGAGGAGGTCCCTGTTCTGGGACTGACCCCTGGCTGCCTACAGGAAGGTACAAAACTTTTCACGCAATGTCTGTGTGTCTTCCTCCAGCATTTCCTGTGTGTAACACGGAGCTCTGAGATTCTTCTCGACCATGGCATCAATCATGCTGATGAGATCTGCAACCTGCCGATCCCTCGCCTCCCCACTGGCTCTGTTGCTGAAAGCAATGCATCGATTTCCACACTTGTCTGCCATCACTTTGAGGTATGGTCTCTCTTCTATGAAAACACTGAGGTCTTCTGGATGCTTCAGCTCCTCTGCTCGGGTGAATAACAGGATTGTGTACTTGCGTGTTTTCTTGTGGAACATCTTGGTCACCCACTCAGCCACTTTCTCCTCTTCCTCTGTGATTCGTCCCAGCTGCATCACCAGGATGATGGCATGGACACCTTCACTGGTTTTCTGAAAGGCATTCTTAATCTTTTCAGCTGTTTTTTCATTGGTTTCCCTTGTATCAAATAGGCCAGGAGTGTCGATAACAAGAACTGGTCTTCCATTAACATGGTCCTTGACGTCCTTGCACTCTTGGGTTACCAAATGTGCTGACAACATGGAACGAAATGCCTCCTTCCCAAGGATGGTGTTCCCTGTCGCACTCTTGCCACTCCCTGTCTTGCCCACCAGCAGGATCCTCAGCTCGGACTCTGTGGACCAAGCAGAGACGAGTGTGAGCCCCGCGGTGCCAGGACACCCCCTGCTGACCACGGAGTGCCGGCGCCACGAGGAAAGGTGTCCCCGAGCCACCGCTGTGCCCTGCGGGGACGGGACGGGGCACGGGCTGGAGCTCGCTCGGCCCCGTCCGCCCTCAGCCTCGCTCTGTGAGCTCTCAGCGCTCAGAGATGGGAGGCAGCCTCAGGACGCCCCCGAGGCCACGGCCTCCCACGAAGCCCACATGAACTCCCCGTGCTTCCCAGCACTCAGCCAGGAGCCCGGCTGGGCTGCGCCTGCCTGCATGCGGAGCTGAGCGGCTCACCTTTGCTGTGACGTCCTGCCATCGGGACAATGCTCATAGAGGGAGCCTGAAAGGAGAGAGATTTTAAGTGAGAATAGCACAAACCTCCTGTGCTTCCCTCCCTGTGCTAATGAAAGTGATGCAAATGATCAGTGCACCATCCCTGGGACACATCACTGTGAGGACATACGAGCACATGGGCAGCTGCATGACAAGGACTGCAGCCCTGCAGTCCCCTGCCCAGGGCTGAGAATGGGGGCAATGCTGCTGGTGTGAGCATGGACTGCCACGAAAGGCCTTCTGCCCATCACACTCCTGCCATCCCCAGTTGTGAGCAGTGGGTGCAACCTCAGCACCCCGAGCCACAGCCTGCACTTTCAGTACTGCACTGCCTGGAGCTGAGAGCATTTATGGGAAATGCCTCTTTGTGGGGCTTCTGGCCCATGGCTCAGTCTGTACGCGGATGGCACCACAGTGGCAGCACTGCTGCCTGGGCATGGCCTGCAAAAGCTGGGAACCTGGAGCATCACTGCACTCCTCTTGGGGCCCTGAGAGCGGCAGGATCACAGAATGCCCTGAGTTGGAAGGCACTCCTGGCTTCCACACTGAACATTCCAAACCCAAACCCTATGCCTGAGAACGGTGTTTCAGGGCTCCAGCAGCTCAGCCTGTGCCCACTTCCCAGGGGAGCTGCTCCATGCCCTCTGCCCTCGGGCGCAGCCTTTCCCTCACCCGCAAACAACACTCCTCTAACAGCTCCATGCTTTCCGATGGGGGCTGTCACTGTCAGAGTGGAGCTCAGTGCTGCTCCTTCTCAGCAGCCATAGGGCCATTAGGGGCTGCAAGGCCACGAGGAGGTGCAGCTGCAGTGAGCCCTCCCCTCAGCCTCCTCTGCTTTGGGCCCAATAAACACAGGGCCCTCAGCTCTCCTCACACCCCTTGCCCTGCAGACCCTTCCCCATCTCCACAACCATCCTTTGGATGCTCTCTCACAGCTCCGTGTCCTTCTCACACAGCAGCACCCAACCTGCACCCTGTGCTCGAGGTCAGACCGCAGCACAGAGCAGACAGGACGGTCCCTGTCCTCGCCAGCACTGCTGGGCCTTCTGCTTCCCCAAAAGGGGAAGGGGCCCTTTTGGCTGCAGGACACTGCAGGCTCATGTCCACTGGGCCGTCCCACAGCCCCCAGAGCCCTTCTGTGCAGCTGTCAGCCACCCTCTGCTCCCCCAGTCCGTACTGAGAAGCCATGTCCAGCCACTGAAGGGAACACTGAACAGAACCAGCCCTGAAATGGAGCCCTTTGGAACCCCCAGGGACTGCCACCAGTGCGTGCCACCCGTGTCCCAACGCATGGGCCTGAGGCATCAGCACAGCTTTCACCAATCTCACTGGGTCTGTGCCTGTCTGTGTGCTGGGTGCTTTGTCTGCAATGTTCTGTGAGCAATGGTATGGAAGGCACTGCTGGACTCCAAGAGAACTACTTCACTCAGCTCCCCTTGGTCTACTGAGTGGGAGAGATGTCCCAAAGGAGATGAAGCTGGCGGAGGGGTGAGCAGGCAGAACAATCCCACCAGCCAGAAGGTAGGCACGAGGATCTCCGAGCAGCAAGCTCCAGCCCAGCACCAGGCACGGGGCTTGGCATCCCAAGAGCTGCGGCAGCAACCAGCACAGTGTGCCAGGGAGCTGTGGAGCTCCCATTGCTGCCTACAGACACCTAGGGCTTCCAGACCGGTGCACAATGTCTCACAAACACGCTGTTGCCATAGATATGCCCAGGGCTGATAACAGAAATACGAGCAAAGGGAGGGAGAGAGCACCTCAGCACTTGCATCATGGGCCGCTCCCCCTCCCCACCAAGGGCTTGCCTCATTCTTGCACTCAGGACCAGGGCTGATGGCCCCACAGGGACAGGGCTGCTCATTGGGCTGCCCACACAGCTCTTCTGCTGGCTGCTCTCAACAAGGGAGGCGCGAAGCCTCGCATCCACGCGCTGCTCAGCACTGCATCCGTGTGCCCCAGCATGAGGCTGTCAGCACTGGGCCTGGTCCTGACCACATCAAATGCGTAACCACCCCCTCCCAGCCCTGCCCAGCACAGCAGAACCCAGGGCATGCGCAGGTGCTCAACCAGACAGCGGGGCTCAAGCACTTGTTGAGAGCTCCTTCGGGCACCACACTCCGTGCCCCACATGTACCGCGAAGGCGGGGAACGGCACGGCTGAGGAGGCTGTTTCCTCTCTGACTGAGCCCTTGCTTCCCACACGATGGTACCGACCTTCTCCAGCATTTCTCGCGTGTAACACGGAGCGTCACCATTCTGCTCTACCATGGCGTCAATCATGGCGATGAGCTCTGCAACCTGCCGATCCCTCGCCTCCCCAGTGGCTCTGTTGCTGAAACCGAGGTACCGATTTCCACACTTGGCTGCCAGCTCCTTGAGGCATCCGCTCCTTTCTATGAACCTCTTCAGATCTTCGGGATGCTGCAGCTCCTCTGCTCGGGTGAATAACAGGATTGTGTACTTGTGTGCTTCAGTATGGGACATCTTGGACAGCCACTGAGCCTCTTCCAGTGTGATTGGGCCCAGCTGCATCACCAGGACGATGGCATGGACCCCTCCGGACAGGAACTGAAAGGCTTTCTTCTCAGCTGTTTTCAGGTTGTCTTCCATAGTGACATGAAAGCCAGGAGTGTCAACAACAACCAGTGACCGTCCAGCAGAGCAGCCTTTGACTTCCTTGCACTCTTGGGTTACTGACTGTGGTGACAGATAAGATTCAAATGCCTCCTTCCCAAGGATGGTGTTCCCTGTCGCACTCTTGCCACTCCCTGTCTTGCCCACCAGCAGGATCCTCAGCTCGGACTCTGTGGACCAAGCAGAGACGAGTGTGAGCCCCGCGGTGCCGGGACACCCCCTGCTGGCCACGGAGTGCCGGCGCCACGAGGAAAGGTGTCCCCGAGCCACCGCTGTGCCCTGCGGGGACGGGACGGGGCACGGGCTGGAGCCGGCTGCCAGCAGGCACGCAGCGCTTGCTCGGCCCCGTCCGCCCTCAGCCTCGCTCTGTGAGCTCTCAGCGCTCAGAGATGGGAGGCAGCCTCAGGACGCCCCCGAGGCCACGGCCTCCCACGAAGCCCACATGAACTCCCCGTGCTTCCCAGCACTCAGCCAGGAGCCCGATGGGCTGCGCCTGCCTGCATGCAGAGCTGAGCGGCTCACCTTTGCTGTGACGTCCTGCCATCGGGACAATGCTCATAGAGGGAGCCTGAAAGGAGAGAGATTTTAAGTGAGAATAGCACAAACCTCCTGTGCTTCCCTCCCTGTGCTAATGAAAGTGATGCAAATGATCAGTGCACCGTCCCTGGGACACATCACTGTGAGGACATACGAGCACATGGGCAGCTGCATGACAAGGACTGCAGCCCTGCAGACCCCTGCCCAGGGCTGAGAATGGAGGCAGTGCTGCTGGTGTGAGCATGGACTGCCACGAAAGGCCTTCTGCCCATCACACTCCTGCCATCCCCAGTTGTGAGCAGTGGGTGCAACCTCAGCACCCCGAGCCACAGCCTGCACTTTCAGTACTGCACTGCCTGGAGCTGAGAGCATTTATGGGAAATGCCTCTTTGTGGGGCTTCTGGCCCATGGCTCAGTCTGTACTGAGCCGGCACTGCAGTAGCAGCAGCACTGCCAGGGCACAGCCTGCCTCAGATGGGGGCATGGAGCATCACTGCACTCCTCTTGGGGCCCTGAGAGCGGCAGGATCACAGAATGCCCTGAGTTGGAAGGCACTCCTGGCTTCCACACTGAACATTCCAAACCCAAACCCTATGCCTGAGAACGGTGTTTCAGGGCTCCAGCAGCTCAGCCTGTGCCCACTTCCCAGGGGAGCTGCTCCATGCCCTCTGCCCTCGGGCGCAGCCTTTCCCTCACCCGCAAACAACACTCCTCTAACAGCTCCATGCTTTCCGATGGGGGCTGTCACTGTCAGAGTGGAGCTCAGTGCTGCTCCTTCTCAGCAGCCATAGGGCCATTAGGGGCTGTAAGGCCACGAGGAGGTGCAGCTGCAGTGAGCCCTCCCCTCAGCCTCCTCTGCTTTGGGCCCAATAAACACAGGGCCCTCAGCTCTCCTCACACCCCTTGCCCTGCAGACCCTTCCCCATCTCCGCAGCCATCCTTTGGATGCTCTCTCACAGCTCCGTGTCCTTCTCACACAGCAGCACCCAACCTGCACCCTGTGCTCGAGGTCAGACCGCAGCACAGAGCAGACAGGACGGTCCCTGTCCTCGCCAGCACTGCTGGGCCTTCTGCTCCCCCAGAAGGGGAAGGGGCCCTTTTGGCTGCAGGACACTGCAGGCTCATGTCCACCTGGCCGTCCCACAGCCCCCAGAGCCCTTCTGTGCAGCTGTCAGCCACCCTCTGCTCCCCCAGTCCGTACTGAGAAGCCATGTCCAGCCACTGAAGGGAACACTGAACAGAACCAGCCCTGAAATGGAGCCCTTTGGAACCCCCAGGGACTGCCACCAGTGCGTGCCACCCGTGTCCCAACGCATGGGCCTGAGGCATCAGCACAGCTTTCACCAATCTCACTGGGTCTGTGCCTGTCTGTGTGCTGGGTGCTTTGTCTGCAATGTTCTGTGAGCAATGGTATGGAAGGAAATGGTATGGAACAGAAATACAAGCTAAAGGAGGGAGAGAGCACCTCAGCACTTGCATCATGGGCCGCTCCCCCTCCCCACCAAGGGCTTGCCTCATTCTTGCACTCAGGACCAGGGCTGATGGCCCCACAGGGACAGGGCTGCTCATTGGGCTGCCCACACAGCTCTTCTGCTGGCTGCTCTCAACAAGGGAGGCGCGAAGCCTCGCATCCACGCGCTGCTCAGCACTGCATCCGTGTGCCCCAGCATGAGGCTGTCAGCACTGGGCCTGGTCCTGACCACATCAAATGCGTAACCACCCCCTCCCAGCCCTGCCCAGCACAGCAGAACCCAGGGCATGCGCAGGTGCTCAACCAGACAGCGGGGCTCAAGCACTTGTTGAGAGCTCCTTCGGGCACCACACTCCGTGCCCCACATGTACCGCGAAGGCGGGGAACGGCACGGCTGAGGAGGCTGTTTCCTCTCTGACTGAGCCCTTGCTTCCCACACGATGGTACCGACCTTCTCCAGCATTTCTCGCGTGTAACACGGAGCGTCACCATTCTGCTCTACCATGGCGTCAATCATGGCGATGAGCTCTGCAACCTGCCGATCCCTCGCCTCCCCAGTGGCTCTGTTGCTGAAACCGAGGTACCGATTTCCACACTTGGCTGCCAGCTCCTTGAGGCATCCGCTCCTTTCTATGAAGCTCTTCAGATCTTCGGGATGCTGCAGCTCCTCTGCTCGGGTGAATAACAGGATTGTGTACTTGTGTGCTTCAGTATGGGACATCTTGGACAGCCACTCAGCCTCTTCCAGTGTGATTGGGCCCAGCTGCATCACCAGGACGATGGCATGGACCCCTCCGGACAGGAACTGAAAGGCTTTCTTCTCAGCTGTTTTCAGGTTGTCTTCCATAGTGACATGAAAGCCAGGAGTGTCAACAACAACCAGTGACCGTCCAGCAGAGCAGCCTTTGACTTCCTTGCACTCTTGGGTTACTGACTGTGGTGACAGATAAGATTCAAGTTCCTCCTTCCCAAGGATGGTGTTCCCTGTCGCACTCTTGCCACTCCCCGTCCTGCCCACCAGCAGGATCCTCAGCTCGGACTCTGTGGACCAAGCAGAGACGAGTGTGAGCCCCGCGGTGCCGGGACACCCCCTGCTGGCCACGGAGTGCCGGCGCCACGAGGAAAGGTGTCCCCGAGCCACCGCTGTGCCCTGCGGGGACGGGACGGGGCACGGGCTGGAGCCGGCTGCCAGCAGGCACGCAGCGCTCGCTCAGCTCTTCCTGGCCCTGTCCCCTCTCTCAGCTCTCCCACAGGAAACTGATCGTGCCCAGCAGGAAGCCAAGCCCAAACTGAAGGTTCTGAACAAAGGATCCTCTGCAAAAAGGACACAAAGCCCCACGGCTGCACTGAAATGCTCACAGCACGGCTCCCACCGCCACCTTCCCCAGTCCGTGGAGAAGCAGCTGGGGACTGCGGCCAGTGCAGCAGCTCCTCTGGCTTTGGTGCCACACAGCCCACAGCGTCTCCTCACTGCCACAAGATCGGCTCCAGCTTCACCCCAGCGCCAACAACACGCTGTGGGCAGCCCAGCTCCCCCCCTGCAGTGGCCTCAGGCTCCATCGGGAGGAACGCGTGGCCCTGAGGCTGCCCAGGAATGTCCGTCTCTAGCATTGCTCAGAGGGCTGCACCCAGTGCTCCTCCAAAAGCAGGAACAGAAAGTGAAGGCGATCTGACAGCAACCTGAGTCCCAGCACTGGGTGGAGTAAGCAAAAGCCCAGGCTGAACTGCTCCACTTCCGAGAATTCAGGCGCTCAGCAGAAAATGCAGCAGCGTTTGTGCAGGGTTGTTTTTTCCGCCCCTCCCTGCCCTGCGCGGCTTCAGTGAGGCACGGCTTCCGTGCAACAGCCGCAGAGACAGCAAGGCTTGCCGTATGGCTTTCCCCCTGCGCTGTGTCTCAGGCTGTACCCACCGCACACCGCTGTGCCGCCCGCCCTCAGCCGTGCTCTGTGCGGTTCCCAGAGCGGGGAGATGGGAGGCAGCCTCAGGAGATGCAACAGCGCGCAGGGGGGGAGCAGCTTACCTGTACTGTGACGTCCTGCCATCGGGAGAGCGCTCACACTCACACGGGGAGCCTGGGAGGAGAGAGATTTTGAGTGAGAGGGGCACAAACCTGCCCTGCTTCCCTCCCTGTGCCAATGAAGGTGACACAGATGATCTCTGGGGACTCAGGTCAGTCCCACAGCCGCGTGTGCATGGACAAAGCCAAATGGCATCAAAGTTACCCATCTGCATTGACTTTGCCTTTGGAAAGAAATGTTGGCTGACCCTCATTCATGGAGGTCAGAACCCACTCCCTGAAAGCAGATTCTGCTGCCTCGGAATTTGTTCCGGCAGTGGCAGCAGAGCTGCAGCAACTCACCAAAGCAGCGCTGCGCTGTGTCCCAGCTCTGACTGCTGCACTCGTGCTGTTGCTGCTCTCGTCCCGCACAGCAGCGCCGGGGCTGGAAGCGCTGTGCAGCTCAGCAGCGCTTTTAGAGGCGGCGTCGGGAGGAGGGCAGTGCTGGGATCCCAGGTAGCGCTGCTCCACCATTGGCCACATCTGAGCTGCCCCAGTGCGGGGACACCGCCCGCTGTGCAAAGCCACATCCAGCCTGGACTCGGGCGCTGCCAGGGATGGGGCATCAGCAGCTCTTCCGGGAAACTTATTTATGGCCTCACCACTCTTGTCTTGAGGAATTCCTTCACGACACCTTCTCTGAAACTGCTCCATTTACGTCAGCCATTCTCCTTT